AGTTTAAGCCTCAATCTTAATATTGTTGGGTTTTTTTATTTCCAACTAACTGAACGTTCAAATGCTTCAAAAGCATATATTAACACAAAGTTAAATTGCTGACCATGGAATCTGGTCCAATCATTCATTTGTATGCAAAATACACCACAGTGGAGTAGTCTAAATCCTTTTTGAAGATTACAGTTCTCTCACGTAAGACTGATTTGCCCTGGAAAATAAACATTTCTAATACCTCAGGACAAAAATAGAGCCTTTTCAAAGCTTACACTTCTACACTATTCAGCTATAAAATAAATGCACTTGCCTTTCAAGAAGCTCATTGTTCATTACAAGCAGTAATTAAGCTGAGCATTGTACTACCCCTGGGAAGTGGGTAAGCATTGTTGTCCTTTCTTTACAAATGAAGGAATTAAGGTACAGAGATCAAGTGACTGTCCAAAGGGAAAAGTTTGGATGGAATCCTGGCCCTCTGACTCCCAGTCCTGTAACTTACTTCCAAGTCCATAAGAAGAAAAGGATAGAGTAGAATGGTGACAATAGATATAGCAATATGAGATGTAAATTAGATCTGCAGGTGGTGCAAATTCATTCATTATTTGAAAATAGGTTAGGACTTGTTTGTTTGTTAGCAAATAGGGCAAATGCTCAATTAGTAGAAATTTACATAATTCCTTTGATTTCAATTAATCTATAGCAGTTTATGCCAGCTAAGAATCTAGCCTATTTCTAATACTTTGTCTTAATTATGAATATTTGATATGCAGGCTGAGTTGTATAGTAGTGATAAGTATAGCAAGGCTGTATACACATGTTCCAATTACCTGGCAGAAAAACTTACTTATAGACACCTGAACAGATATTCGAATGCTGAGCCTCAACAGTAGAGAGCCTGCCGTGCTAATCCTGTGCAGCCAGGGGACCCTGCATACACATCTCGGCATGCTCTGTGGGTTCCCTCAGAGACAGATGGCAGCAGTACACAGGGCAGCCCTTATTTGCCTACTCAGGCTGCCTATGTCTCCTTGCAGAGAGACAATGTGAGATTGTGAAGGGGCTGTGTTGTGATCTTTTCCCTACTCAGCTGGACCAGCACAGTCCAGTGAACAACACATTATCTCCCAGGGGAGGGACAGGGGGCAGAAACAAAGCACTCTGGGATGCTAGAGGACTGTGCTGTGGCTTCTGTCAGAAGAGAATGTGTACAGACATTCATTCTCCCAAAAGCTCTCCTGGTTGTTCCCAGATTATTTTTCTCCTAGAGCAGCCATTTTTGGTCTGGGAGAAAAAATCCTGGACATATGTACACTTGTAGTTCCTTCTGGGAAAGCAGTGATACTCCCAAAAGAAACTGAATGTCTGAATGTTACTTTAGAGTCTCAAGAGGTTGCTTTTTGTCCCTGACTTGAGCATTTCTGATGTGAATGCTTCCATGTACAAACCTCACATCTGTTTTCTATGAACTCTCATGTACAGGACCTAAAAGTCAGTTTCTGCAGCAGTTGATTGCATAGACCACTGTAGAAAGCAAACTCACAAAGGTCACACGCACAGGTGAGAATGAGTTTTAAAATGGGAGTGAATATTCTTGGGAATGGTTTTACAGCATTCTGCCAGCACTTACAGAAAGCAATAGTATTAGGCTTGCATGATTTGGTTTTAGGTTTAACTCCAGATTTGAAGCAGAAGTAAAAAACCCAAGCTGGTTTCCCCCAGGGTGTAGTCCATTTGGTGTTATTTCATAGTCGCTTTTCATTCACTAAGATTTTGTTTGTTCCATATCATGACATTCACACATGGGCGCATTCTCAATTTTAATCACAGTTCCCTGCGCTCCATTTCTGAGTGATTTTTTTGAAAGCTGCATTGTAACCACAATACTTTGTTTTTCACTCTAATCAGTGGGTTTCCAAAGTTATATATCTACTTCCCAGCATCCAGCCAAAGTAGTCATATGGGTTCCTGAAGCAAGAAGGATGGATTTCAAAGAAGGGAGCTTTGGGGCCACATGATGGTATCCCTTTCAGCCCCAGGGATCCTTTAGTATCAGTAGATCAGGGGAAGGAGAGAAAGGGAGATGTAGAATGATAACACTTAAGTGTCTCTGCAGGAGGCTTCTTCCCTATGTTGTATCTTCCCTGTCTCCTCCCTATGTTGTACCTCCCCCTGAATGCAGGGATATTCATGGAGCTGGACCCTACACTATGCAGCAGATGTTTTATTTGCATTCTGGCATTCAGTCCCCTTTTTTGTGCAGCAACACAAAACCAGTTCCACACCCTGAGGGACCTCATCCTTAAAGAAGAAACCTGGATTTGCTCCATAGAGCCAAGTTAAACTGACCTGCTATGCCTAGAGCCAATAGAAAACAAGTCAGGGGAGTAGGTGTGTGAGGGAAACAGCTCTGTGTACATGTGCCAGTTTTTGGTATAAGAAAATAACATTAAAACCACACTGATGTTTTTAGCTAGCTTATTTTTTTTATTCAACTTTATTTTGCCATCGAGATTTTTTCTAAGCTGCTTACTGCTGAATGTAATAGGAGAAAGGTAAATCTGCTCTTACTAATGACTGAAGCTCCTGATCAATGAAACCTACGTCTTTGTTGCTTTGTCTCACTGACAGCCTCTATATTTTAACAAGATGTTTTGGGCAATTATACTGTGGAAAGTTAAATGTCTGCTGCTCCCTCATCTAATTTTCTGTATTTATCAGCATGCCTCAATATTTCTTTCTTCTTGAGGGCACCAGTGAAGGGAATGTAAGACTTGAAAGCTATCAACAAGCTATCCATGATGCATCTATTGCAGCAGGGGGCAACCTTTTTGCCAGGCATGCCACAGATTAGCCCTGCATCCTCTTCAAGTGCCAATCTAATCCATTTCCCCTGCCCAATCTGCTGCTTTGCTTTCTGCTTCCTGCCCTGTGCTCCCTACACAATATGCTGCCCTTCTTTCTACTTCCTTCTCTGTATTCCCTGCCCCATCTGCTGTTCTGCTTTCTGCTTCCTGCCCTACTTGCCATTGTGCTGTTTGTCCCCTCCCTGATTTGCCGTGTACCCCCCCACACACACACACACTGCCCATGTAACTTGTGGCACTCTTACTGCAGACTGGCTACCCCTGATCTACTATTTAGATAAGTGTATTGAATTCAAAATATACCTAGAAGCTTGGAAAGATATGATTTTTTTGTCCAGTACAGCTGTGCCTTATATGTTCATAGTACCTTTTAATCCATTTACATAAACAAGAATAACATCATTCTAATCCAAGGTGAAAGATAACAGCTGTTTAACAACATGCAGCAATGCTATGTGACAGTTTAAGGCCATAAATGAAGAATTTCTTCCCAGCTGAAACTGCTAGCAGAATTTAGGGCAATAGAATATAGATACCAAACACAAATTTGACAAATACACCGATGTCAATATCACTACAGACATGACAAATGACATAGAGTCTTAGGCTAGGGGCAGACATTCAAAAAGCCTGAGCCTGAATTGATTCAATTTTTGCAGGTTAGTCTAACCTGGCTAGACTAAATCAGTTTCCAACCATATAGACAATCCCTCTGAACTGAGGAAATTCAGGCACATGCCTGCAGTGGCTCAGGCTGTAAGCTGGGGGCACTAAGGGGGGTGTGACCAGGCCCTGGCAGGGCTCTGATTAGGGAGGGATGTGAACCCACAACCTGCCTGCAGTCCCAGGCTTTTCCCCTGTTTGCTGCTCAAGGGGTGGGAGTGTTGCCAGCCTGCAGCCCTGGACTAGCACTCTGAGGTAAGCGGCAGTGGGCAGTGCATGCATCTGTTGATGATATGGAGCTTTTCACTCTGCCTCCCTGCTTCTATACACTGTGTGCAGTAAACTAACAGACAAGCAAGCTGGGGCAGGGGAAAAGGGGGATCTGATAATAGTGTTTATCACCCTTATCTCAGTGTTTACTGCCCCATTAAGAAAACAACAGAGAGATATTACCAGCTATCTGTTGATTCAGCACATAGTCAGCATGCGGTCTGCTGGCTAATACACAGACACCTCAGCAAAGGCAGAGGGAAGGGGGGAATTTGTGCTTAGCAGAGAGTGGCAAGAGGGAGGGAGAGAAGAAAACAGCTCTTCTCAAACATTTCCAAGGAAGGACATTAAGCTACCAGTTGATTAGCAACAAAAAGCCTGTCTGCCTTTGCCTCTCTCATAGCACAGACTGTAACCAGCATGTGGTCTGCTAGCTAATCTAGATGTGTCTGCTAAAGCAGAAGGGCAGGAGCACCACGGAGAAGCCGGGCAGATGCGGAGGGGAGGGACCAACCCTGATGTGGAGCAGAGAGCCCCACCCAGCCCAGAGAGCATACTGGGATGCTGGGAGTGTCTGGTTTATCTTAAACCAGCAAGGATTCTGGGACAGACATTGCATAAACTAATTTGAGCCAAATCAGTTAAGTCTGATACTACATTCAACCAGGCTTATCTCAAACCTGTTTCAGCCATTTTCAAAGTGGTTTATGTGCACTGAACATCTGTTCTGTTACACGGTTAAACCAGTTTCTGATCACTTAAACCGGTTTATGTGTAATGTCTGTCCCTAGCCTTAATGACCTCAAACGGACATGACCTCAATTTTGTATCTGGGGAGGGAAAGAAAAAAAAAAGGTATCAGGCAGGAGCGTGAATTGGACTCAAGGAAGTTACTTCATAGTAAAAATGGTGTAAGTGAGAACAGAATCAGGTCCGTTTATATGGAGAGCTCTGTGTATAAAAGGGCAGGAAGGCATGCACTTTTTATGACCTGTTCTTTTTATTTTGTTGAGGATTTATTTCTGCATGATTTGTGACTTTAAAAATAAGAATACAATGACAAACCAGAGCTAAACAATATTGTTATCTTTTGATTTTAATTAGCTAATATAAAATGAAGAAGCCTTACCTAAAATTGTGGGGCTCTTTCAGCCTTCATTTTATGAACATGTCACTTGATAAACTGTCTGCCCTTTCTTTTATTTGTAGGAGACCTGACACAGTGGCTTACATGACAACACCAAAGCAAATGCACTCCAATGTCATGGAAGCGCTACAGTATCTAGACTCTCATCTTCCCAAAGGGAGCCATGTGATTTTAATGGGCTTGGTAGATGGTGGCTTTCTGTGGGATCATTTACACAACAGATACCATCCTCTTGGTAAATATGAAGCCTTGTTTTTAATTTCCTACTGATGAATCCTAAACTGTACTGATGTACATTACCAAAAAGTTTTGGGTCATTGATGTCAACCATAACACCAGGCTTGGATTTGGCTCAGTTCATCCCAAACTGCAGTCTGACTAGTAGGGTCATTGTGTCTGAGAAGTTGCTTTACCTAGAGTTAAGCAGTGTAATTTATCTCAAAGGCTCCCCTCATCCAGGTTTGAGTGATTAGATAAAACTAGTCAAGTCTATGTCTGGGCTTTCAAAGCAAACATTAACTGATGAAATTCTGTAAAACTAATATCACAATCAATTTTGCCCATTTTCTCCCAGCAAAAGTGCAGTTGTGACAAGTCAAACTTCATAACAACAAGAAGAACATGCTTTGGCTTTCTTTACCATATCATTGTAATAAGATCCAGGGCCTTTAAGAGCTTAGGGATAATTCTTACAAGTTCTTCATCTAAGAACTCACATGCTGCTATATCTCTGACCATTTATGAATAACTTACTCCTTTACTTAATGTTATACCAAGCAAGGGAAACATTATTATGAAAGGTTTATATGACACTCCCTATTTTGCCAATGTATTTGACTAAGATGGGTGCTTGCTGGCTCCTATCAATAGAGGGGAAACCTAATGATGTCATTAAACTGTAACATGACAACTCTTCAAAACTTCTGCAATAGGGCTGTGCGAAGCTTCGGTAGCTTAGATTGAGATGAGATTCAGCCCAATTCGGGGACTGAATCTCCAAATATGAATCGAATTGGGAGACCAAGTAAAAGCTCTGAATTGATTCAAAGCATCCAAATCAATTCAGAAAAGCTTCAGAAAAAGATTTGGCCAATTTGGAGATTCAGCCATAGAGTAAACAGGTAGCTGACAGCTGCCTCCAGCTGGTAAGTCTGTTGGGGTTGGGGGAGGGGAAAGGGAAGAGTTGTGGGGGAGGGAGGGATTGGTGCTGGGACAAGCTGCCCAGACAGGGAGGGGGGGGGGGGAC